TTAGGGCTTGGGATTTAGGGTTTAGTGTTAAGGCTTTAGGATTTGGGGTTTAGGGATTTACGGTTTGGGATTCAGGGTTTGGGGTTCAGAATTGGGGTTTAGGGTTTAGGCGAATGTTAGGATTCCTTTGTGGCTCTTAGGTCAAGTGTTGTGGTTCATGTTGCTTGCTTTTTGGGTTGTGGTTTCCTCGGGAGAGCATGTTTTGCCTATCTTTTTCAGAGTGTTCAAGATTAAGGAGTTTAAGGTGTCTCATACTCCTCAGTGGCAGATGTTAGGTATCGGCGTAGCGTGAAGTTGGGGTCCACCCTGAACCCTAAACCCTCAACCCTGAAACCCTAAACCCTAAACCCTGAAACCCTAAACCCTAAACCCTGAAACCCTAAACCCTAAGCCCTGAAACCCTGAACCCTGAAACCCTGAAACCCTAAACCCTTGAACCTCAAACCCTAAACCCTGAAACCCTGAACCCTAAACGCTTGAACCTCAAACCCTAGCAGGAGATTTCAGGGAGCTAAGATCCAGGGTAGAAGTTGTTCCGCAACGAGGCCCCGGCAGCCCGGCGTTCTGAAGCAAGCCCCAGCAATGGGGACTAGTTGCCCATAAAGACATACATGTGTACGTACAAGTAAAGATGTACACATACATGTATGTATATGTATGTATGTATGTATGTATGTATGTATGTATGTATGTATGTATGTATGTATATGTGTATGTATGTATATGTATGTATATGTATGTATGTATGTATGTATGTATGTATGTATGTATGTATATATATATATATACATGTGCATATATAGTTTCTGTCCGTGTGTGTGTGTGTGTGCATCTGTCGTTTTCAAGCTTAGTTTGCATCTGTAGATCTTTACATGCCTTTCGTCGCCGTGACAGTGATCGTACGCATTCTGAGGACGATCATCGCTGCACAGTCATGCCTTCAGCATTCTGGCAACGGAAGGGTTTGAGAATGGATAAATTGTTATGTTGTTCTGCTAGCTGCGACTGGTTTTACCATGTACCACGGACAATGTTATTGGCGTTGATACTGCTGTTTTGGATGAGTTGGGTGGTTGTCAAAATTATGGTCCCTTTTTGGGTCCTTATTATAATACGGCACCTAAAAATTTAGGGTACCCCAAGAGGGACCATAATTCGGACAACTACCTAGTTGATGTGGCAGTCGGCGTTTGTTGTCACTGTTTGCGGTCTCAACTCTATGACTCCGAGCACAGCGGAAATGAAGATGGCATTGTTGCTGGTGATGATGATGATGATGACGATGATTATGATGATGATGGCCGTGCTGACGGCGATGATGATGACGATGTTGATGACGATGGTGATGGTGATGGTGACGGTGATGGTAATGATGACGGTGATGATGATGCTGCTAATGATGTTGTTTATCCGTCTCTTTGTTGTTCGGTCATTTGTGGCGGCAGGCACCTCCTGCACGACACGGGCATCATACCTTTGGATCCAGTTACTGGCCGGCACTTTGGAATCATCGATGCTGTGTTGTCTTGGTTTGATGCCTGGGGCTCCAGACGATGTGTAGAATAATAACCCTAAACCCGAAACCGTAGGTACAAATCACGCTTGCACGATTAGGGTCTTCGGACTTGGGATACGAGTCAACAGGGCTTTCGAGTGACTTCAGGCTTAACGACGGCTAAGCTGTTGCGGTTTAGGGTTTAGGGCTTCTGGGGTTTAGGGTTTAGGGTTTAGGGGTTCTGCGGTTTAGGGTTTAAGTTTTGGGGTTTAGGGCTTAGGTTCTTGGGTTTCGGGTTGGGTTGAGGATGCCATTGCAGGGCTGAGGCTCACCGGTTGCCGGTTTTTTGGCTGTGGGGCACCTGTGCGGCACACAAACTTTTAGGCTCAAAATGGGCCACAAGCCTTATATAAGACACGGTTTAGGATTTAGGGTTTAGGGTAGTATAGTATTTGGCCCAAAAGCCTTAAAACTATGAGTCCTTAGAGCCTTCCAGAAACCATGATGTCTCAACATCACCCAAGGTGACGGAAGCCTACGTTCCTACTGCGCCAAGTCGCCATTGATCAAGACGTTCGATTTCAGCTTTGCCTTGGTCATATTTCGACGGTTTAGGGTTTAGGGTT